CGGACGCTGATTATAAGTTGATAATAAAAAGCATTCAATGAAAGCTTGCAGGATTATAACCACACTCTATTCAAACTCAATTTAAAAACGGCAACTGAAAAAGGGCGTCGTGGTGAGTTGCTGAGTGATACACTGAGAATGTGTCGTTTTTTTATATACTCTTTATCACCTTTGTGATAACATGAAGTGCTTTACAAAGAGCTCCACCTACTTGGCACACCCAAACATTTAATTTGGACATTTGCAATTTGGAGCGCCTTAAAATGTGTAGGTGTGTAGACGTTCATTTTGGAACATTGCATGTCACACAAGAGTGCTGCGAGGTGTTGAATGTAGTATGTATAGAACCTTGGCTGTTATGCACATATATATCCAGGAGAGTTAACATCACAAAGATCGCAAACATCTATAATCAGGGTTTAATTACCCAATATTTTAGAGTCGCTGGTAGACTGGCACGTGACTAGCGACCAGTCAGAGCAATAGGTAACCTGGATATTGTGTGCCGGGTTCATACATATTTTCTGCCCCACAGATCCGGATAGACTGGGCTGAAATTAAGCCCTGTGTATTACTACCAGTAGAGCTGAATCTAGAAATTTCCCATTGACGTGTAATTTTTCAACCAGGTCCTGAAAGTCTTGGGTCAGTTTGGGACACCTTGGATCGAAGGCGACACCTCACTGCTCGGCAACACTCCAGTGGCCACCGAGTTTAATAAGAGACGTGCAGCATCAAGTTAAATAATAATAATCAGTTATTTTAAATAAACCATTGTAAACTCACGTAGAGTTGTTGACAGGGCAGAAATGAAACAGATTTGTATGAGAAGCTCAAAGACAGCAAGCTGGGTTCATCATCAGTAGTTGCTTCTGAAATTAAAAAAAAAAACATTCTCCCCTTTATACCGCACTTGTCTGGGTTAACCCCACATCTCCATCCTGTAGGGAAGACCTATGACCCTTTACTGTGTGTGACAAAGAAGAGTCACCTGGAAAATGTTCCTCCCCATTTTTACTTTGCCCTTTCTACCCTGACCCTACTTCTCCAACATGAATGAAGTCCCCTATTTTCCAAATGTGCGTGCATTTTATTCCATTGTGTACCAGTGTTTTTGTAATATTTGTGAGCAGAAACTCGCAACATGTTCCCAAACACCCCAGAAATGCTGGATTTTATTATAAATAGGCAATTCAGCAGTGCTACTCTGCACAACATGAAGAGAGTGAAATAAATTATATATATTTAAATCTGTTAAAATTTTAAATGTCATTTTTTTATCTCGGGACTTTGCCCAACTTAAAAGCACCTAAAATTGTACATCATTGCACCTATAAATCATTTTAAAATTGTCTTTACAATTAATCAATGCTGCTATAAACAATTTTGCTTATGTGCGTGAACAACAGTGCTCAGCTAGGATTAAATTGGTATGCATGTACTCCGGGCACAATGCATAACAACATACGATTTAAGTAGTAAAACACAGAAGGCATTTTAAGATCATTTACATTGCTGTAGGGTGATCCTGCACAGATGCCATATTTTCTGTCTGTCTGCTTCTGCAGAGGTGTAGGGAATTCCAACAAGACCTACATCTCTGCTTTATTGACCTAGTCAAGGCCTATGATACCATCAGTAGGCCTGGGCTCTGGGTTGTTCTTCGTGCTTTCAGAGTCCCTGACACTCTGCTCACGATCATTAAGGACCTTCATGCTGGTGAGCGGGCCCGGGTAAAACTACGTGGCTGGGAGTCGGAGCCATTCCCTGTACACCTTTGGGTGCGACAGGGATGTCCTCTGGCTCACACATTATTTAACATCTATTTACACCACGTAGTTCATGAAGCCTTCAATAGCTGTACCGGAGGAATTTCCATCTGGTACAGATACAATGGGAGGCTGATGCCCGGGTGCGGTCAAGGGATGGCTCCCTATTGCTGCTCACTCAGAGGAGGAGTTGGAGGTGCTGCTGCTGAAGTTGGAGCGTGCCACTAAGAGGTGGGACCTTACCATCAGCCCACCAAAACTAAGCACCTGTCTGGGTATTTTGTACCATCGGACAATCCACCCACACAACTCACAATTGGTGATAGAGCAGTTGTGGAGATAGTGGAGAGTTCCCCATTCCTGGGCAGTGTGCTCATGACCGGCTCCGGTTTAAGGTCTCACTCCGAATCATTCAAAGCAGCATTATCATTTAATCGGTTGCGTAACGCTGTGTGTAAGCTACCTGGTCTGTCCCTCCGCACGAAGCTTCAGGTCTTCTCTACGCTTGCGAAACGTGGAACCCCCTAATGGAACATCTTCGCCGGTTGGAAATATTTAAGCTGGCCTGCCTACGATCCATCCTGGGTTTAACCAGGCTGGATTGCGTGAGGAGCTCACAAATCCTCGAAAGATCTGTACAAAGTCCCATCGGTGAGCTCCTCCAGCAGGCAAGGCTGCGGTGGCTGGATTATGTAGCCTGCATGCCCAATCACCGCATGCCTAAGCATCTTTTGTTTGGCCGGATCGAGGGGGCTAAACGGGCGCGGCAAGGGCTAGAGAAGAGATGGAGTGATGTGGTATAGGAGGATGTGGAGCTGAGTGGATTTTCCAATGACTGGTACCAGCAGTGTCAAGATCGGCCTCTGCGGAGGAGGCTCGTGAATGACGCTAGTGGGCAGTTGGAGGCAGTCGCCCTCCAACAACAACGGAGGGGGAGAAGCGACGCTCACAACAACGAGCGGAGTGCCGGGTGGCTAAAGCACAGCAAGCTGGCACAGTAGGGGGCACAGGTGGTGCATCAGCCAGTCATCTCAGTCAGTCGACCTGTGGAACCTGGGTCTGCCCCGTGACCTCCTGCCAGCGGGCGTTCGACACTTCACGTGGCCTCAACATGCACATAGCCTGGCACAAGCGTCGTGGTGACGTCACCGCCACTCAGTGGCGAATGGCGGTTGTTGTTGTTGAATATGAATACGTAAATAAGGTTATCTGCGAGTTGCAAATTTTTTATATTTATGGCAGCGTGTGTGGGTTTACGCGTGTTTTCGTGTGTAAAACGGAGATGCGCTTACGTAATCAAAATTGCAGTTGCTTTGCCATCATCATGCACGTGTGCAGGAGCTTTATAGTATATACTACAAAAGAGACTTTCGTTTTTAGTATACATTTTCAGATTGTGACTGGGGTGTTTGTATACGATTCGTTTGTCAGACAAAGTAGAGGTTGTCAGTCAAGTGGGAAGTCCAAGGTACCCCTACTGAAATTAGCACTGCGACAGGAGGCGATGCTGAGCACTTATTTTGCCACTGAGCCAGCTGTGGATGCACGGAGCGTGATGGTCCTACACCTGTAATACTGCGCTTTACAAGTGGAGGGGGAGGTGGGGAGTGGTTTCATTTGTGATTGAGAAATTGCGTGTAGGACACCTACTCCTTGAATAAATTTCATATGATATGTCTAATTTAAATATAACATACCATTTTCATCCTTTATTCATGCTATGTTTTATTGTTATATATGCTCAGCTTGTCTGTATGTTACGTGCTATTATTTGATGTGAATAGCTTATCCTCTACTGCGTCTAGATATGGTCCTCGTATTTAGATGGTGAATAGGTCAATATTGTGATGATTGCAATGTAGATGGCATGAGGGAAACTTGACTGCTATGCCTGTAGCGATGCGTAGATTCATCAATTAAAGTGATTCTTATGTTCACGATATATGCATCAAAATAATGTATAAATGAAAAATGTTTTGTGTTGCGTGTGCTTTTGACCAAATCAACTGGAATGTGTCCAATCTTGCTCCATTTCAGACACAAATCAGGGTTGAGGCTGGATGGTGCTTGGATGGGCGACTACCACGTGTAAAAACTGGTGTCATAGGCTGCTGTGGGGCTGCATTATCAGCAGAGGGCAGTGCAGACAAATCCATTGTTGTGCTATGCATCAACGTTTATGCTCTGTGCCTTTATGAACCCGCCGGGACCAACATTGTGAATCATTGTCAAATAACTCCCACGACCTGAATGGCATAGGCAGTCCCTCATCCATCAGTGGAATGACAACAATGGTTCAATATGTGTACATACAGATTTCGGTACACATATGTTGCATGTGTGCCACATGATCCCTCTAGCAACTAGAGCCACTTAATTCACCACAATGTAAAGAAAAAGACATCAACCGATTTGTGATCTAAATCTTCAAAAGTCACCGAATTCGGGCAAATTGTTTTTAGTCTACCCACTTATATTTAAAGATTATTTTTGTTGTTGACTCGTACGTGGTTTTCTGCAGGCAATTGAAGTTTCTCCCATGCAAAAAAACCCCATACGAAATAGGGAATTTGTCACCTTCTCCCGAGCATTATTCTCCTGATAATTATTATTGACTCATTAAATACTTTTTCTGGGTAAAGAACAGATAAAGTTGCAGTCCTACAATTGCTCATGCCACTGTTGGCAGAAGGTCTTTCACAAGAGGGAACTCAAGGAACCTACTCCTCAACTCTGCCCAGATGTTTTGGAAGATGTGGGAGTACCCATACAATTTCTCCACCACACGCAAACTGCCGAATGGCCAGCTGTGGTTTGCCAATTTATACTGCTGTATGGACAAAGGTGAGGGGATTGAGGAAACCTGCACCATTGTATCACCTGCTTTGCTGGGAGATAAAATGTAACCAGCGACCTCTGAATTGCAGGTCCAGTGTGCTATTATTTAATTTCTTATGGTATCGACCAATTTCTCTACAGGATTGACTTCCCTCTATGTGATGTAGTTCATAATGAGGTACTCATTTTACCAGCCTTCATAAGTTGACCTCGGGAAGGCTGAGGATCGGTTCAGAAATTTGCCACGGGTGTTGGCGATGACCAGGAAACAAACTCAGGCTTTCAGTTGTTTTAGCACAATGCGCTAACCACTTCACTACCGCTCTTGACACTGCGTATGCATGTATACAGACATGCGCGCACACACACACTCTCAAAGTTAAAAGGTGTTACCTGGACAGGACACGATGCAGGATTTTTTAAATTCGGGCTGTCTCCCCTCCTCACCCAGTGCCCCCATCACTTCTCGCCAAGGCATCTCCTCGCAGAGACTCTGCTCCACCTTCTTGACAGGATCGTCTCCTGAGCCATTGTGGGACAGGCATGTGAGCTCCCTCACACATACACCCTCGCCGCAGTCACCTCCCTGAAAGACAGCACATACTACTTTGCACAAGATGGCAAAACTCCCAATATCACACCATAAAATGGCATGCAACCCATGCCCTCATGGGCCACACTGCCCGAGCACATCACCATGTTCACACAATAATATACCACAACAGAACACAAGAGAAAGGTTTAGAGTAAGAGGGTGTTGATGAGGTTCATGAGGTTGGAAGGTCAAGTCCAAGAAGATAATATATAGTGAACAAGAGAAGTGGAGGGGGTACATTTGGGGCAATAGTTGAAGACAAGAGTGGGAAAATAGGCTTGTGGCAGAATTGAGACTGTTATCAGAGGTAAAGCTTTGCTCTGCTATTGATGTTATAAATATTCAAGTCAGAACCAGTGGCAAGACATCTGCCGGACAGTGTCAGAGATTAAGCAGCAGATAGCGTTGACACTGCAGTGAAAAGAAGCTTCCGAGCTCATTACTGGGCATGACATCTTCCATGGGAGTAGGAAAGCTTGGAGGCCAGCGTGAGGGTTTAATGGGCATGGACCTGCAAACTACAATAATGTTTTCATTTTATTTATCCAGTCTTATGTAGTGGTATTCCAACAGACATTCTGTTCCAAAAGTGGGAGATTATTAGCATCATACCACATCTAATTTTGTAGACATGCCATCTTACAGGATTGTTCACTGCACACAATAATCTTGAATCCGGGTAATCTGATGAGACAGAAACTGAGAATGCAGAAAGGATGACAAATATTTTCTGGGAGAAACAAAACAAAAGGAAATATACAAGAGGTGGCTGGGCCACTTTTGAGCATTGATGCATTTTTCAGGGCACTTGCTGTAGCCAGCATGTCTGAGAACCAAGGTTCAAGTCCTGGGTCATTACCCTTGGTACAGGCATACCCTGGTTTATGCCCGGATGTGTTCCTAAAATCCAAAATGTATATCGAAAGTACTTAAGTCGAATAATTGCTGGTGGGTTGTAACGTGGTGCAGTACCTAAACAGAGGATGGTGGCAATTTCAGCTCTAGCAACTTGTGGTGATTGTTACATTAGGAAAACGAAACGTCATGTCTCGGACCGTGTTCGCGAGCACAAGTCAGATCTAAAATACGGCATGACTAATACCTCCGCCGTGGCTGACCATTGCTATAACGCTGTGGGCTCTCATGATATTGTTTTTTCCGAGACCAAGGTGCTCTGCAAACCTTTGGGCTACTATCAAACGTTTGTTCATGAAGCCATCCAGATATATAAACATAGACATAACTTCAACCGAGAACATGGATATAAATTAAGCAATCATTGGAAGGATGTTATTAACCAGGTAAAACCTTAAATACTTCATGGTTGTTACATCATATTTACCGGGCACTAGTCTATTTTGCCGAGTTAATTGCATCCCTACCGTTGGGCATTGCTGCTGCATTGGGGTTGTTCGCTTTATTGCTACTGTTGCTGCTTTGTTGTAGTCCCCCCCCCGCGCATCCCCAGCTCACTCAGCCTCCCACTTCCAGCCTCGCCCACTTCCCCCCGTCCTAGCTTCACGTCTCCCTCTCCTAGCGTCCACGCAACGCTCCCCTCCCCCTACCCCCATCCCTTGCCTCTCCCCCCTCTCTTACCTACATAACCTCTTACCACGATCTCTCTCCCACTTCAGCAAAAAAAATATTGCTGTGGTTTTCCCACCTGATGATGATTGCTTGTGTTGTGTATCGAAAAGGCATCCAAAACAGACAATCTGCCCGTTGAGCTTAACCGAAATGGGGAATATTTTTCAGATCCCAAAAAAATAGTTGACAATTTTAACCTTCAGCTGGTAATCTTTTTGATAATGTATTGGTAGTCAACCCTGCTCATGCAAATTCCTACACCCCTGTCCAAACATTAAACAAATTTAGTTTCCAGCCAATCCACGAAAGTAATGTTCTGAAACAAATGTCCTACCTCAAAGGGTCCTCCTCTACCGGAGCAGATAGTTATCCCGTATTTGCTCTACTAACTGTTGGTCACCTAATATACAAACCTATAGCCCATATTTTCAACCTGTCCATCTAAGAAACGTCAGTTCCTCTAGAATGAAAACATTCCTATGTCCGTCCACTTCACAAAGGGGGCCCTAAAGATGATCCCAATAACTACCGACCTATCTCAATTTTGTCCCCATTGATGAAAATTTTTGAAAAATTATTGAACTACCAAATAAGCAATTTCCTGTCCACCAACAATCTACTACATCTAAAACAATCTGGGTTCCGAAAAAAATACAGCACCACATCTGCTGCATTAGACTCTCTGAATCAAATTTACAGTAGCCTTGATAATAAGCAGTACTGTGCCTGTCTTTTTCTTGACCTGTCCAAAGCTTTTGATACAGTAGACCACAACACCCTGCTTAGTAAACTAAGTTGCCTCAGTTTTTCCGAAAACACAGTACAATGGTTAAAAAATTACCTCTTTTCTCGCACCCAAACTGTAGTCACAGATGGTTGGAGGTCAAACAGTGGTAAGATAACAAAACGGGGTTCCACAGGGTTCCATCCTCGGCCCCCTCTTGTTCTCTCTTCATGTCAATGACTTTGGCACTGACCTGGATCATTTTTTTGCAGATGACAAGTTACTGATTACTGCTGGCCGCTCTCCGGATGACGTGATTGCTAAGCTCCAGGGTGATTTCAACAAACTACAACATCAGCTAGTTGCTCTTAAACTAGTCCTGAATACCTCCAAAACCAAGGTGCTATGTTTCTCACCGGGACTAAAGCAGGAAGTTATTTTTCCAAAATTACATTCCTTAAATAATTATCAAATAGAGCAAGTCAAGATCTAAAAGTGTCTTGGGGTCATCCTGGATTCAAAACTGAATTTTGAAGATCACATTGATTATATTGGTAAAAAGACAAAAATAAAAATTGGTTTTCTGTATCGACACAAGCACTGCTTCCCCCCAATGTTCCGTTTGGAATTGATAAAAGCTACCATACTGCCTCTATTTGATTACTGTGATATCGTGTATAAATCAGCCCCAAGTACTGTACTGAAGAAGCTTGATTCCATCTATCACTCGGCCTTAAGATTTGCATTGAGCTGCCCATATAGGACTCACCACTGTGATCTCTACATTGGGTCAAACTTAACATCTCTTAATGTTCGACGGCTTGTGCACCAGATCTTATTTATTCACGATGTACTTACAAAAAAATCCGCAGACTACCTACTGGATCTCCTCTTTCTTACAAGGAACAAATTTGACCTCAGGTCTTCGCTCATTTACCAGCTTCACATTCCCTATTGCCGTACAAAAACCAGAGGAAGGGCCTTTGCTATTGATGCCCCCAGGGTCTGGAATGCTATTGCCAATAAACTGCAACTTGAATCACTACCTATGAGATCTTCACTCAAAACTGATCTAGAGGAGTTGTACACCCCTAGCTGCCACTGCTATTCAGTGGCCTAAAATATGGCTCTAGGGTTTGGTGTTACATGCTATTTATGTAGTTTATTGTAAAAAATTAGGCCACAGTCCCTATGATCACTGTTACATTGCATTTGTGGCTTTTATTTTGGTGATTTCGATAACGTGTTTTTGGTTTTGGCCATGTTTTTGTTTATTGTAGTACGGAGTTGTACTGATGGCCTTAATCTTAGCTGTCTTGTGGTTGTTGTTATTGTTTGACTTGCATCCCACTGGGATTTTTGCACACAGCGTTGGTGTACGGTGCTATTTCAGGAATATTTTGATGTTTTTTTCCTGGATTTTCTGTTTGCACAGTCACATAATCACTTTAAGATGTTTTCTTGTTTATGTTTTTGTTTTTGGTTTGTTGCGGTTGCACCCGATTCAAAAGCCGAATGGCTCACAGGGCTATACCAAATAAATGGGACTAAATGGAATTTAATTCATTTTATTTTATACCTACAGTACGTGACTCTACCGAAATAATTTTAGATTTTTTTGTGTTCTATTTACGTGACTTTACCGAAAGAACCAAGCATATGAATTCCTGCAGTCACGAAAGTATTAAGTCTAAATTTAGTGCATGAAAACACAGATAAACCTACCACTGAGGATTTAAAGAGTTGTATCATAAAAAAAATAATGAAACTCAAACTCGTATACTCTGTACCTTCTATGGACTAATGAAATACGTTTGTAGACTGGACTCTGGGGAAAGTCCTAGGGCATTTTGTAGTTAACCTTCAATTGAGCAAAACAAAAGGGGCTGACAAAAACCTCAAGAGTGCAGAGAGATATTTGGAAATAAGACCGTGAGGCATCGTATATGACGATGGAAAATATTCGCAATGGCTCAAAAAAGGGTACTCAAATGAGACAAGCAAGTTGTTATGATGGAAACAGAGCATTGAGGTAAACATGCAAGTCAAGGCTGCCTCTCACCACGGAGAGGTAAATTAGTCAAACTGAAGACAATTATATTCTTGGTTCTTTCGGTAAAGTCACGTAGGAGGGAAACAATTGAATATTAAAACTAGAAAACAATAAAAATTCTCACGATGTTTCGACTGCAACACAAGCAATCATCATCAGGTGTGAAAACCACAGCAAGAAAATTTGAAAAAAAGTGGCGTTTGTTTTACGTTAGCACCACAGAGAGCGATTTGGCAGTTATTCAGATGGACGAGTCCATCTATGTTCGGAAAAGAGGAGGGGGAGACGAAAATAATGGATGCAGTCTGAAAGCCACCGTAAGTGTGAACAATCAATTAAGACCCGAAATGGTTTATCAAATCCTTCCAATGATTGCTAAGCCAGAATCCATCTTATCGGTTGAAATTGTCTCTGTGTTTGTATATTTGGATAGCCTCATGAACGAATCTCTCATGGTAGCAAGATGGCTTGTAAAGAACCTCTGTGCCAGTTAAAAGGGTAAAACCTATTACTATATCTTGTTACTGGCAAAGGAGGTCTCATAATGTAAATGCTCACCCCGAGCCCTCAATACTCTGACCGTGTGTCTTCTGGTCCAACACCAGTGGAGACTAGGCTCTAAAGAAAACCGTCTCGGGTGTGGACCAATCAAATTTAAGTACAGTGCATATTATTATCAGAGTTGTCTTTTTGTTTGCATTTTGACTGCTTGTGTTGTGGTTATTGCAGACATGATGCCTTGAATAAAGGTGTCAGTTTTTTTGTGCCAGTTAAAAGGGTAAAACCTATTAATTTAAAATGGATTCTGGTTTAGCAATCATTGGAAGGATTTGATAAACCATTTCGGGTCTTAATTGATTGTTCACACTTATGGTGGCTTTCAGACCGCATCCATTATTTTCGTCTCCCCTCTCCTCTTTTCCGAACATAGATGGACTCGTCCATCTGAATAACTGCCAAATCGCTCTCCGTGGTGCTAACGTAAAAAAAACGCCACTTTTTTAAACAAATTTTCTTGCTGTGGTTTTCACACCTGATGATGATTGTTTGTGTTGCAGTCGAAACGTGAGAATGTTATTGTTTTATATTGCTATTATTTTATTGTTTCCCTTCTACGTGACTTTACCGAAAGAACCAAGAATATGAATCCCTGCAGTCACGAAAGCTTTAAATCTAAATTTGAAGACAATTAGTCGCATAGCTTGATTGTCTCTGGGGCCATGTTACTGGTTGGCTAATCAATGTCGATGAAATGTTGGTGTATTGCGAATGCTTACTGGCCACAAGGTGTCATCTTAGGTCTATTTTTCTCTTGTGCATTCTCTATCTCTATTCTACTGTCTCACCCTTACAACGTTCCGTTTTTTTCTTTCTTTCTGATCTTTTCCCCCTTCATCAGTCTATCTCGTGTTCCTTCCCACCCTCATCCCACAACACTTCTTACAACTGTACTCCAACCCAATAAAAATGTAAAACCACCAACCAAAACATCAACTGTCTGTGAGAATAGGTTTTTTCCCCTTTTTTCTGGCAACAACAAAAAACCACCTTTAAACTGTCTGTATCTCACACATGAAGCCTGTCTACATGACAATGGTACATGACACATTGGTTTGATACTAATGAGTTGTATAACATCTCAAGTAAAGGCGCTTTGTCTTGCAAAGAGATTAAACACAAAAAAACGATATAGCGTTACTTCCTTTTACAACAAATAATTTTCTTTTCACAAAACGTACAAAGTCAACGTATCCACGGATGTGAATTTGTAACATAAATCATGGGTAGTACTTTTATAATTTCAATTGGGTTTGTTGTTTGGTGATGTCATATACTCTTTGTACAGGTAGGAGGGCTCTGATTGTATTATTAAATGTTTGATTACGTGATCACTCATGTACGAAAATACTCTGCTGACAGCAGCCTCCTGTTCCTAATCACCTGTGACATTGCATGAATAGGTCCAGGGGCAACTGCCATCTTTATGACATTTTGAAATATTGCCACATGTAAGCAAAAAATATCCATAAAACTTACAAATACTTAATATTTTATTTTAATACTTTTCGTGAATAATTTTGTCCAGTATTGCCACGTAATATTTTATTTATATTCTCTACAGCGAAGTTTAATGATGTTTAGACTGTTAAAGGAGTCAATAAAGTGTCATATTCAAGGGCACACTTGGGCAGGCGAGATTAATGTCCTCTACCATTTTGTAATGCACTATTCAACATAACATAACGACTCGCGCTGCGATGATTATTTATTTTTAATGAAAAGACATTTGGGGGCGCGCCAAGCGGACCGTGAAGCTCTCATGAAAATATCAATAGCTGCTGGTGACCCCTTGGGGAGTGTCTGTGAGGTCGGGTCGAAGGGGCGGGTGCAAGCATTCGAATGTGCCCCACGGCTCTATTGAGGGCATTTGTTGTTCACGGGGATTAGAAGAAGCTCACGTTCAACTGGCAGGAGGACCAGTCTCCTAGCTGCAGGCGGTAGCAGGGCATGGGGGTGCACGGTTTGCTTTGCTGCAGCTGGGAGGGACAGGGCCGACCAAAGCCCCGAGCAGCTCGGAGAACCCTGCGACTTCTCTTCATCATCCCTGTGGCGCGTATGGACACACGCACACGGTCACGCGCAAGCACAGCCCAATACGTACGTGCATACACAAACTGCTTCAGGGTAAGAGCGTACACTTGTCCTAAATATCAGCACCTGTGGCCACACACGCAAAAGTTAACACATTTATATTGCCTTTGTCGAGTAGTCTATGAGGTCCAAGGAGGGCAGGCATGACGTTTAGTTTGCCCCCCTTTGGGCAGCGTGTCTTCCCCATGCTCACTATGAACCCTTACTCATGAACAAACGTATACATTTGCATGCATTTTTAAATGTCTGGCTGGAAATGCAGCCACTGACATTTAAATTATGTGTCTCAAAAACATGACTTAACAGTTTAAGGGCACAAGTACACTTTCCATGAGCACAATGGAAACAAATGATCCAGTGGTTCTTTAAAATACGATGGTTCCCATTGCTATATATAAAACAAAAACATGCCTATTCTTAGCTCTTTCGGTAAAGTCACGTTGAAGGGAAACAATAAAATAATAAAATATATATAAAACAATAATAATTCTCACGACGTTTCGACCATAACACAAACGGTCATCATCAGGTGTGAAAGCCAACGGCTTTGTGTTATGGTCGAAACGTCGTGAGAATTTTGATTGTTTTATATATATATTATTATTTTATTGTTTCCCTTCAACGTGACTTTACCGAAAGAGCTAAGAATATGAATTACTGCAGTCACGAAAGCTTTAAATAAAACACATGTATGTAGATAATTACATCAATACCCTATTGAACCTGATATAATGTCAGGACTACTGCTGTTAATGGGCTCCTGTTGTGATCCACACATCTCTCCGGGTAATAATGTACTCGCAGCACACAATACTGGCCACTTTTGTCACCCCTTTGCTAATATAAAACACCACACTAAGTACGGAACCTTTTTTCTGAGTAAATATTGGATAGGTGCTGGAGACAAATTGCTACTGGAGTTGTGCATCATAGCCACTGCCACAGCGATTCTTTGAATTGCCACAAGTCGGGGTCAGGATTCGATTAAAGTACAAATGATTTTGTCTTGTGTTCACCATCTTCTTTATATCGCTTCATGTTTGTAAAGATGTGATTTTACAGTTTTGTTCACTCATTCAGCCCAAATGTAAACATTCGAATATTTGCAGAAATCAACCCATAATAATTTAATATTATGAGACCTCCTTTGCCAGAAACAAGATATAGGAATAGGTTTTACCCTTTTAACTGGCACAAAAACTGACACCTTTATTCAAGGCATCATGTTTGCAATAACCACAACACAAGCAGTCAAAATGCAAACAAAAAAGACAACTCTGATAATAATATTCACTGTCCTTGAATTTGATTGGTCCACACCCGAGACAGCTTTTCTTAGAGCCTAGTCTCCATTGGTGTTGGACCAGAAGACGCCGTTAGTGTGCTGTTTTTGAGTTGTACGCCTTTTGGCGTCTTCTGGTCCAACACCAATGGAGACTAGGCTCTAAGAAAAGCTGTCTCGGGTGTGGACCAATCAAATTCAAGGACAGTGCATATTATTATCAGAGTTGTCTTTTTTGTTTGCATTTTGACTGCTTGTGTTGTGGTTATTGCAAACATGATGCCTTGAATAAAGGTGTCAGTTTTTGTGCCAGTTAAAAGGGTAAAACCTATTCCTATAATAATTTAATAGATGTGTGATTCGATGCATGTATTATGAGCATGATAATTCATTTGAATAAGCGATATGTTTACATACCCAGGAATTGAACACATTTACACATGGTTCACAGCGCAGTGCAAAAACCACTATGCCACCACGCCAAACACACACACACAGGCAAATAGGTGGCGACCTGTCAGGCCGCACGTGCGTGAGCAGGATGACCACGACGTCCAGCTGGAGATGCGGCAGTCCAGAGGGCACTCCACGGAGCAGGGCTCACTCAGAGGACGAGGTGTCTTCAGACCAATCTGCCCATAGAAAGCGAATTAGCATGGAGAAGAGAGTGGTTATGTCACCTCAGCGTCACTGCACCCGTGGGTAAAGTGGGGAGAAAAAATATATTAGTCCAGAAATGGCCCCACCCATCAGTAAAGACTTAGTGGCAGCACTAATCATAGGGAAAACAGATTAATGGATTTGGGCCCCCAGTAATTTTCTTGGTCGCTCCTAGGAGCTCCAAAATGTGTCCACTTCTGGAAGGTATCTGGGTTTATCATCTTAACCTCGCGGCAATAAATATTGTTTGAGCAAAAATGTATCATTGTTGGTCTCGTTGAATGTCAGATTAAGTGCTATCGGCAAGTAACTCTTATGGCCAGCTTTGAGAAAGCTGGACAGTAACGGGTAGAAATTAAGCTTGACTTGGCAACATTTGCTTCATCACTGCTTCATGTTGAAGATGCATTGTTAGCCCATGGTAAGCTTTTGCCTTGGAAGATTGTCAATGCCAGGTACAGATACTACCTGCAGAATTTGTACCGGAGTTGCTGGAATGGTAATGAAACTTGCTAACGTCGCCGTTTCTGATTTTTGTGTTTTATGTAAAGGAATATAATGATACATTCAGCAAAATTACTCTTTTTCTCTAATGTATGTGTGATATTTTAATTGATAAGCTGTTAAAAAATTTTACTGGCCAAAAGTGGTCGATCTCAGTATCTCTGGGTATAATTTTTTTAACTTATTAGAATAGCAAAAGTTTATCTAAATCCACTACCAAAAACAACCTGTGTTCAAAATGTCATTGTTAATTTATACAAATAACTTTGCTCAACAATTTCAAGTTCCAGTGCAAAGTACCATCCACTTTAGAGGTTAAACTGTTGGTTCCTGTGGCATTATTCCACAGCTTACTGAGACAACCTAACACATGCACACACATACGATTGGCACAGTGACACAACCCCGACTATGTAGATTACAAATAACAATTACTTACAAAGGCCAGCACGGCACAGAAGGAGGTGGTGTGGCCAGCACAAACACAAAAACATATTTTGTTTCTCAGCATTGATGTTGGGATATTGCGACAGGTAATAATTTTATGGTGAGTCAAATTATGGGTGGTCCAGAACAAGTTAAGATATTGAATGATGCTGGTGATATAGTTGGTCGTAAATAAAACAAGCGTCAGTAGGATTTTAGCAAAGTCTTTGAACCAGCGTGACAAAGCACTCCTGCACTTTGACTTAATTGGTAATTACATACAGGAATAGTCAGTCAACATATACATCCATGTAGAGATTGTATTTAAACCATGAATCATAAGATTTTAGGCAGATTATAAGTGTCACTGACATGGTGATTTTTTTAGATCATATATAAATAATTATTCATATATTAATAATTTTTCATATATGGGATATACGCATACATGCATTTTTTTATAGTTCTAATGTACATATGTGCACACACTCGACCCAAAAACTCATTTGTAGGTACAAGCTCACCTATGCCTTCATTGTGTGCTGGAGAAAGCTGGTATGCCGCAGGTGCATTCATAATTATAATTACATATCACAAGTGAAAAAACAGCGCTAATTAGAGGCGCTTGAAAATTATGGTGATAAAGAAAACACTTGTGCATAACTGCATGCTGCAAAAACCTGGGCTGGATGCACATGTCTCACAGAATGGATAAATGAATAGATCAAACTGATTCGGACAAATGTAAAACTGAGCCCTCTGACAATATATCAGTTCCCATGGCGTGAATCCTAGGCTCTCAATTTCTGAACCCCGTGGGCATATGAGCAGTTACCTGCTTTGGATGCTGTTTAGGAAATGGCAGTTGGTGATCACTGCAACTCACGGCTTCCGTTGGTGAACTGTAGGCTAGTCCTGCAATGGGTCACTGAGCCCAATGTGGGTATGTTAGCAGATTGGAGGGATTGCTGCCCTAATCTTTTCACTCCCTGCAATGCCCATTCACTGTCAGGACATCTAGGGTGCCATTCATCTACTTGGGCATTTTGCTGTGATGGAATGTATCAGTGCCAGGATATTATCTACAATGACAATTTTAGCTGTTGTCCAAAGCCAGCCATATGCTGTTCTGGTTTGAGGAATGGGTGAAGAAACTTAGCGCGGGGTGAGGGAATTCCACCACAAATGTCATGACATCAAAGTACAATCCGTGCCCATGGTGAAAATGTATGCCAATTTGGATCCAATCGATCTTATATACACACGTTTGAACACGTGTGAGTTTGTAATCGCATGTGTACTTTGCGGAACAGGTCTGATAGGAAGAGAACTGCCCTGCAAAAAAGCTCATTGTGCTCGTTTCTGAAGGTGGTTTTGAGCCAGTTGTGGAAATCACACATTATTTTGGTGAGAGCTAGTCAATCCAGTGTAAATCCAATAAAATACACCTTTAATGCCCACTAAGGAGTTGATTGGGATAAAGATGGTTGTGATGATGATGAGCTGCATTGATCCCTGCAATGCCATACAACTGGCCCTGCACATTTTAATTGCACTCCTGTCGTCTTTTTGTATTGTAATTTGCTGGCCCGCTCCCTACTGGACATCTGCGAAAAAGTGGACATCTGCGAAAAAGAGCTTTATCGCTCATCGGATTCCTCCAGTCTAAATAAAGATTCTGATTCTGATCATTTCTTTGAACAGTTGGTCCTGCCCAGCTTGTGCATGTTGCTGGCCCCACCACTCCCATAACACATATGCCATGCAGGCCTTTAAAGGTGCTCACCAAATTCAGCTATTGCGCATCTGTGTGTAGGTGTATTTGTATATGAATGTGTATTAATGTGTATGTATTTGTATGACTGTGTGTACATCTGTATGTGTTGTGTATATACAGTTATAATGTATGTCTATGTATGGTCGTGTTTCTATGGGGAGTGGTAGTGTAGCGGTTAGCGTGCTGTGCTACGAACCTGGCAACCCGGGTTCGATTCCTGCTCATGGAAAACACCAGTGACGATTATCTGAACCGGTCCTGCGCCTCCCCTAGGTCGACTCAGCCTCAAATTAATACCGGGTGCAATGTGTAAACATCGCCACTGGGGAAACAAAGGCGGCCGGGTTGTGTTAGCCACTCACCCCCTCGTGTGCTGTGCCGGGCTTTAAATGTGCTTGCTAACAGCACTTGCCCCTACAGTCTGTTAATGTTATACGGGGGATCTTAGTATTCATCCCATGGCACATGAGTCTGTCCCGTGACCTCCTGTCGGTGAGTCTTGGACACTTTACGTGGCCTCAAAGTGCACCTGGCCTGGCAAAGGCCACTTAGTGGAAATTGTGGCTGTTGTTGTTTCTGTGAGCCTGCATAATTGGATCTATGTATCATGTACTTGCATGTGTGTGGGCTGTGTAGAATTGGTCTAATTTAAAAGCACATACTGTTGCCATGGACAAGGAGAGTATTTGAAATAATACGATGCTATATATGGAGAAATTGCATACATTTTATAAAATATACGGTATACTGCATTTATTTATTTGGAAGAACAAGCTGAATTGAAAACAATTATCATTCAAGTTTTAGGGAAGGTTATAAAGATAACCACGTTTTATTGTGGCACACATCTAAAGTTAAAACATTCATCTCTACTATGACTTCATAATTATATCGCGGCAGCCAAGGAACAGAATGTGTCCAAGACGACATCTACTAAGTAAGTGTAGCGATGCAATCAGCTTGTGTACAAATACCATATGGATTATAACATCAGCAGTGGATTGACCAAGGTTGGTGATAATGATGATTACCTTCATTCATTACAGATTTCCATGAACTAGGTTTCTTTCAAACATGCCTACACCACCTTGAATTACAAGGTGTATTGACAAGTGTGCATTCTGAAAGAACATTGCAACAGCCTGTAACTGCAAATATAGAAATTCACAAATGTACAACAAACAAAATCCATATTTGACTGCTCTCCAAAGGGACGGCACTGATACATTACTGTCACAGTGAGATCGTGCCTAGGAGTATTGCAATAACAGGATACTATTTCCAAACCTTTACTTGTCCAGCCAATAGCAACACACACATGGGAAATTTAAACATTTATTGATTTTCATCTATCCACACATGTGTTCCAGTAACTTCACAATGCCGCATATAACAACTTAAAAAAAAAACATTAACATTTCATTGTGTATTACAGCAGTGGTATGAAAACTCCAGTTGTCTCACTTGGATTACATCTCAACCTCTCATGTTTGCCACCAAACCAATGTACGAAATGTGTATTATTGAAATGCTTCGTGTGGAAAATTGCAGTTGAGTTTCCATGAAAAACACTTTAACTAGAATGTCACTTTAGTTTGTCATTTAATGCCATACAAGCTGCCATGATGTAATGGTTTGCACACTGACTAGCAATCCAGAGATCGCCAGTTCGATTCAAACTCCAAGCACATAAGTTGAAACGATGGTTCAAGTTTCTTAAATCACACTACCTGTCCAACACGTAGTACACCACAGTTAGTTGAAGGGCAGGTTGCAGGTGATGAGGCACAGTTTGGGTATTCCTAGCTCTTTCAAGATGTCTGGCAAGTATGGAAAAGTAGGTCAAAATGCCCTCTCGAGGGGCCCCTCTGTCAGCAGTGGCACGAGCAGGAAATTGCAGGGCTGCACCTTTATATTTTAAGCTAAGGGTTCAAACTACATTCAGTATTTTATGCAACTGGCCACTGGGCCTGGGATAAGCAAGACCAATTGAGTTTGGTAATAATAGTAATACAGCAGATGCTTTATATAATTCCAGACAAAGTTAAAGAGTGACAATGTAGATCCGAGGCATTGTGAATGTTTCACAGTACATCAACAGTACAGTCTGTAGATAATAAGTAAACTTCCTAATTGTATTTGTAATGGTGAAATCTGCAGCAATTCTGTGTTAATGGTAATAGCACCTCATCTCCATATGTGAAAAGCTAAGCAGGTCTGGCCAAGTTGATACCATACTTATATGGTGATTTCGAAGGCAGGATG